TGACCTTAATATATCTTATTTCTTATACACACATAAATTTTGGATCTGGAAATCAAATTGCTATGACTTACTTTGATATATTATACAGGGTCATATCTGATAATTCAGATAAAAGACCTTCTGAAAGATCTTCAGGATCATGGAAATAGTCATTTTAAAGTTAAATGTCCTTCATTTCATTACATGTGGCATGATGTCAGCACTTAGCTGAAGTGTCAATCATTTTCTAATTTCCTTCATGAAAAGTTGTCATTTTATTGCTGGAATGATTTCCCTCTCATTAACTTACAGACAACTGTAGCATGAAATGGACTTGTAAAAAAAAATACATTGACATGTTCAATTGAAACACTTTGGTAACAGTAAACAAAAGTGGCTCAGAATCTAGAATAAGACACCCATCTGCCTTAAATCTGCCATCAGACTACACGCATAAACACCTGTAAATAGTATAACAGCAGTAGTGGGAACAAAAGTTAAGTGATTAATACAATTTTGAATATTTAACAGTAAATACGATAAAAACAATTATGTTCATTTCATTTTCAACATTTCAACAAAACTTAAGTAGCCAGCTTAAATGTATTTTTCAAAATGGCAACCATAATGTACTAAGAGCAACCTGTTAAACTAGCAACACTTTAACCCCCTTAGAATTATTACAGACAAAGGACTTAGGGCTTAGGAAGAAGTTTAGAATAGGTATTGCAGGTGGCTAAATGGCCACGGTGGCTGTTATGTTAAAAATTTTATTGAAGTTGGAAAATAACAATACTTTGTTGACTTCCTTAATACCCCTTCAAGTTTTCAGCCCAATGGCACCTGGAAAAGCTTTCAGGAAGTTAGAAATAAGCTTTTTAAAGTGGCAGCCATTTTGGATTTTGGACCAATGTGACGAAAAACAAAATTTGGTCAGCTATAAACTGAACACACTGGTGGAGCATGATAATAAGTTTAAAATGTGAACAGTTTGCACATGATGGCTGATGATGGATTAAACAAGATGACAAAAAATTCAAGGGACATCACTTAAATACAAACCAGAGGTACAAGTACGGAAATCATTCTGTTGATGTTTTACACTTATCATGAATATATTTCGTAAAATGCCAGGAAAAAATCCATTTGATGTATTAATGAAACGTAAATATTTTGCCAATTTTGACTAGTTTTTGCAAAGTTTCTTCATCAGCAACTGTAGAGCACATTCTTTGAAAAAGATGATGCATCCAGGGCTACATATACTCAGTTGATATTTGGGGAATTTAAGAATCCTAATTCATGCAAAATTTGATGCAGTTACCATGGCAACATAGCTATAACAAAGCTGAGCTATATAATCACTATACATTTAAGTCCTTTTAAAGAACTTCATTGTTTTGTGAAGTGAATGCCAGATTTTGTGTCCGATATTTCTCAATGGATCCATTATGCAAGTTTATAAATATATGAAGAGCTGATCACAACATGCAATCCATCAAGTTTCTGTTTTCTATCAGCTCTATATTTTGATACATGGCAACTTGAACTAAACAAATAAAACTTGTTTTATGAGATCATCTACCAATAGACTCTGCCATGACAGTATAGAAGACCATAAGTTATCTTTGATATCACACGTGATGATGTGTCAATATCGTTCACAGAATGGGTGTATTACAGTACTACACTTCATGCACCCTAGGATCAAACTTTTAAAATCTGACCGTGGTAGTGTTTCAGAAGGAAAGCAGTTAACACTTTCTTCTAACATCTTACACATTGCAACAATTGGATATCATTTTAGATTTATATACTATAATATGCATACAAGAAGTAAGTGCCTGGAAAGAGACCAGTCTTAATAGCAAATAGTGACATTACCCAAGGGTGCATGTTTCTAAGATTTTCTCCATCCCGAATGCAAAGTTCCCTTTATAACTTGGTAGCATGATCATGTTTCCTTCTTCAAAATTACCATTATGGAGTGATGGGAGTAGCAGCAATTTTAAAGTTCATGGCTCTTGGGCCGAGTCCCCAGTGACAACATGTATCCAAATTCCAATTTTTGTAGCAAAAATACATTTATCCATTTCATGCTTGCTACTTATATACAAAGTGTGAATATAATGCATGTTGTTCTCGAGTACCTGTATATTAGAGTGTGGATCTTTATACAGAAATACCTTGAAAATTCTTCTTTAAAAGCCCAGTAGTTCACATCTACATTTTTAACATAATAAGCTATCATGCACAAAATCTGTTCCCAATAACATTTATAGTGACTGTAAATTCCATAGGCCTGTGCATGACCAAAATTATGATAATCTTGTGCAAGATATTTCAAAACAAGCCTGGTTGGAATCCATGCTGCTGTTGATGAGAATCTTGACAAGAACTGTACATATCGGGATTTGACATTAACATAAGACCTTGAGACCCTCCAGACCATCAACAATAAATGCATATATCGATCTTCTTTTAGAAAAACAGAAAGAAAAAGGTTCACAACTTTGAAATATATGAATAGTTAAGTGTGGCCCTGATGCCATTAATTGAGTTAAAGAATGATCTTCGATATTTTTCAAGACACAAAGTTTGTCATGTTGAATCTCCAAACAAGTTGTCATACCATGTCCCCCTAACTTGATCACTCTAAAATCTTTCTAATTATCTCAATTTTTTTATATTGCATTTACGATCTTACAGGAAAGGTCAACAATATTCTGAATACACATAAATTATTAAAACACAACAAAAGAAATCACAGAGAACCTGTGTCATCTTTAATATACATTGTTCAATTACACTTCAGTTAAAAATAATTGATACAATCTATGTAATAAAATTTGTCAGTGGGTTAAGAAGTTCATATAAATCTTAGAAGAGATTTTCTACATAAAAGTTTGCACTTTTAAAATGCAAGCTATCACATTCTCTCTGGTTTTGAAATTGTACAATGAACTTGACAGATGAGTGGTATAGAGTATAATATATAATAACATTTGCACAATGTGCAAGACTGAGGACGATGATGATAGACAGAGGAACAACTATATATATATATATATATATATACATAATATACATATATATATACACACAAAAACCTAAAATCTTCAGAAACAGGTACATGGATAAATTTATACAAAAAAAAAAAAAAAAACTCATGATATAAATAGTAATTACAAATAATGCAGATTTTTTCACAATTGATAATAAATTAATTCAAAAATCCAATTTTTATTACACAAGATTTGTCTCACACTTTAATTCACAAGGTTCAGGTTTAATTTGATCAAATTATTTAAAGATATAGTGCTTTTAACAAAGATGCCACATATATGTGCCAATTTGTTAAGATTTTAACAGAAATCTGGGATTAAAATGAATGGAATAACATAGGATTAAAAATGATGTATTATAGAAGAAAATTGACAATGATCTAAAAATGTAATCAGCAAGATTTGATGACAAAATGATACATTTTTTTCGCATTGATTAGATAGCTTCACAAGGCATAATTAATTCATGCAGAAAGTAAATTGAAATCAACTACAATGATGTATTTTCAATGAAACACAAGAGAAAGTTTATCACAACATATTATGCTGGAATTAAAAAGTGTATCCTCAGTTTCCCATAAAGTTACATTACTTTATAGTAGTGTCGTAGATATGAAAGAATGATATTCATGATGTAAACTCCATTCTCTATGCAAGTTAATGTATTGATAACTTATCGCTCATTTATCAATACTTAACAAGAATGTATACAGTTTGTAATGAAAGTTCAAATGAGAAAAAATGTGCTTTATCCTTGAGCAGCTCTGATGCTACATTATAATGTCATCTTTGAATCTATTCATGTTTCTTTCATCATAGACACATTTGTTTTCCTTACAATAAAATCCATTTGACACAAAATCAACCAAAACACTTTGAGAATAGAGAAAAATTGTAGAGAAAGGCGCTAGTTTATAAAAAGACAATATATTTAAAACCTGAATGAAAATCTTTAAGAAAACAACTAGAAATCATTGTTAAAAAGTATGTTGCTTTACACCATAAAAAAATTTGACACGCTCCTTGGTTGTGTTTGAGTTGGCGAGAATCTGTACGAGGTTTAGCGACTGATTGGTAATATTGGTATGTACTATGTTTGGTCTCTGTTATTCTAGTGGTACTGGGTCACTTTGTGTTGTACACTGACATTCATTGATTATTTTCTGTTTGCTATCTTCATTGCAGTGGCATAACTTGAGATTTTGTCATTCTCCTCGTCAAAGGGCAGTTTCTCCTGTGAGTCAAAGGATATGGGACTTTAGCATTGGCATAATTGTTCCAGCATTACTGAAGCAATGCCACTGCAATGAGAAAATTTCCATATATATCAAATATATACAAATTGGACTAAACTGCAGACTTTGTCTTTGATTTGTATCATTTGCTACAAATGCTTTAATAATACCATGATATTTTTCTTTCTTTTTAGATCACAGCAAACTGCTATACAAATCAATTCCAAAAATGGAAAAACAAAATTAAAGTCCTACTTTAATTAACAAAATGATAAAAAAAAGCTGCCTGTAAAAATGGTTGTTATATAATTACATATATAAACTTCCTTTTGCTCTGTGCATGATGTGTATGTCCTATCAATTTCAATATCTGAACAATGAATAAATAGTGATTTCAGAAATTAAAACATAGCAGTACCCTAAATTCAATACACCAAATATGTACATCTACGCATACATAATAACTGAAAACAGCTTATGATTAAAGTTGGTTTTTTTTAATCTCAAGATATTTCTCTTAGTAACATTTACAATTTCTGTTATATATCAACTTCCAGCAGTGACATCTTCATGTACTTTCACCAAGGCAAAGAGAACCTACCAATATATTGCTGTTACATATACATGTATATCAATTTTGTTTTCTCTAAAAAAAGTCTTTCAATTATGCAGATTTTGAACGGACAAAATTACTGAAAAATATTGTTTAAGATCTGTAGATAATAGTCAGTAATGATCATAAAAGCAGACTGGTAGAGTTAATGATTTGAGAATAGACACTTTCTTTTAGAGAAATATAAATGAGAAGAAATCAATGTTACTTCAAAAAATAATCTTTTTTTTTCTAATTGTGTACAACCATGAAAATCATGATAATCTAATATATAACTTAGTATACTAAAATCATTTCACTATTCCATCCTGCTTTTGTTTTTTTGGAGAATAAAAATGACATGCCATTTTGCTTAAACAGATACACTTTTTAAAGAACAAACTTTGACATTAGCAAAAGTACATTACATCTAATAAAGTAATGGATGGCACAAATCAAAGAAATATGTACATTACGCAAAGTAGGCTTTTTGAATTACATACAAGGCAGATTCAGATAGAATTCCTAACATGAAACACACATAACTTGTGGGCAACAAAGTTATCATGAACAAGTTACAGCAGGTTCATACACCAAACTTTTTCTCACTCGTCTGAAAATAGGCAAATGCAATCTTTCTAATTCTAAGGAAAGTCAATAAAACTTTCAGTTTTGTCCCTTGAGAACTGTATTAATTCTATGAAGTGTAAACCAGCGAAAAAATCAACAAATAGAAACAAATGAGAAAAAAAGAAACAACATACATTTAAGTTTGCACAAATAAGCTTATCTCAAACGTAGGCAAATTCAAAGTTTGGAACATTTTGAGTGGTTGATTGTATATTCAAACATGAAATGCCTAGGTGATATAAAGTGGGGAGGGGGAACTTAAAATAAATCAATGCTTTCAAAGCCAACATTCTAATTTTCCTATATATATCATGTTTTTATTTATCTGAAATGTTATGAGTATACTGAATTACAGAAAATCTGTGACACTAGAATGAGGTAATAAGCTGATTTTTTTTATAAAACATCATATAAAGGCACAACATAAAATAACAGATACTTGATCTTGAACTTAAATGGAAAAAATCAGCTTCACTATTCATGATATATTAGTACACTCTAATGATAGGTATCCACTACACATATTTTACTAAAGTCAAAGAATACTGCAACACAGGGTTTAAATTGAAACGCTGAGAAAATGTTAAGAATAGAGAACCAAGAGACAGATGGAGAAATAATCTGGTTGTATGTGAAAGGTTTGTGTGGTTAACGTATTGTGGCAATGCTAAAACTAAAACTTTGTATGTATCAACATATCTCAGTTATTGCAGAATGAATACTGATCATACCAGCACTGTAGCAAAGCTAGTACTTTAAATGTTGAAAAATAACCAGAAATTCAGAATACTTGCCCCCACACTCTCTCAAAATAGGAGAATTAAAACATAACGACTTAGAAAACACATAAAAAAATCCATCACAGTGATGCTCAATTTGTATGCACAAAGCTCTTGTGCAGTTCCTTTTGTCCACAGAATTGGGTTGTTCTAGATCACCAAGATCAGTACATGTAGCACAAAATGTACATAGGTATAATTTTCTCTGCCAAGCTGGTTATAGAAATATCCGTAAATGTAAAGGCATAATCCCTAATATTTCCTTCAAGTTTACACACCCTTAACTCTTGAGCTTTCTCGCCCACTGTAAAAGGTACCTTCAACTTTTCAGTTTATAAAATGTTCCATGGTGTGTATGTATTATCTCCCTTTTCTTACATTGATCCAGTACATTCCTAAAAGTTAAGGTGTCGTTGCATCTCTAGTTCCACATCATAACAAAGATTTGGCTTTTATGTTGTATAATAACACAGAACATCATTCCATAATTGGTGTAAATAAGAAATAATATTGGACAGGATAAAATACAACACATCATTCAAATACACTTGTGTACAATATCATATGATCACTTTTTGAAGAATTCTCATCATTATCCATTGGACGGCATGGAGAGTCTATGTATTATCTTGCATTTGAGTAATCACACAATAAAAATCCCTATAAGGTTGGTATTTGTGGCAGTTTTGTTCGTGCTACTTCATTGTCTACAATGGATACAGGAGCACCGGCTTTTCCTCTACTGGAGCTTCCACTAGCCAGTTTACTATTTGGGTACACTGTATTTGTGTTGGCGGTGGATTTCCGACGTGATGCAGAATCTGACCTTGTATCATTTTGGGGTGGTTTAGGTAATCTACGTCGTAGCCATGCATGTCTTAGAGCTTGACTAGGTGTTAATCGGTTGGATGGCTCCCACTCTAGACAACGCTTCAGGAAATCTTTGAAAGGTGGATCATCACATCCCTTAAGCGCATCAACATAATGTTTGGTTCCAGGTGCCCCCCTTGTCTTTCCACGCCTTGATCTTCCACCTTGCAATTTTGTTTCACCATCTGAATATGTGACAGTGCAGTAACGAGGGTATCCTTTCGAGCTGATAAAGTTTCTAGTGCGTTTCGCGCCATCTAGAAGTCGTTGTGGAGGCATGTTCTGTAATTCAATGATACAGGCCAGTTGATCACCCTCGTCTTCCCCAGGAAAAAGTGGGTAGCCAGTCAACAATTCTGCCAGAATGCAGCCCAAACTCCACATATCAATAGGCATACCATACTTGGCTCCTAGAATCACCTCTGGTGCACGGTAGAACCTTGACTGGATATATGTGTATATCCGTTGGTGTTCATAGCAGCTTGAACCAAAGTCTATTACCTTTATACCACTACGGCCCTGTTGCTTGAGAAGAATGTTCTCTGGCTTGAGATCACAGTGAATGATACGGTTCTTGTTTAATGCATCTAAGCATTGCAATATTGAGTGTGCAAACTTCCGGACAAGTTGCAAGCTAAATCCCTGGAATTTATTTTTCTTGATAAGTTCATACAAGTTCATACTGAGAAGTTCAAAGGTTATACATATATGGTTTCTGAACATGAAATGTTCAAACATATGTACAATGTTAAAAGCATTATCCTTATCCTGCTTTTTCAGATGCTCCAGAATACGAATTTCCTCTTGTGCCTGCCTGTGGAATCGCTTTTCGTTCCTGACCATTTTCAGTGCTACATGTTCATGTGCCTTATGATCATACACCTTTACAACCTGGCCAAAGCTTCCTTTGCCGATCACTTTTAATACCTCGTAACGGTAGGAAATGTGGTCATGGGGTACCTGCATGTAGGATCCCTGTTCATCGTCATAACCACTATTATTCGCACCCCCTGTGACCCCTTGCCTCTTCTTCGCGTTTTGGCCGACAAAGAAGATACTTGGATAATTGAAAATTTCGTGGTGTTCAAATGAACTCAATTTGGTCATATACTGCTTCATAGCTGATTCTGGAGATTGCTTATGTCTTTTCCCTGTAGCCGAACCCCCCTTATTGCTCGTATTACTGCCTGCGCTCGAGCTGGGACGGGGATTTGGTAGGGACCTAGTTTCGTCGGCCGTTCCGGTGTGACCATGTTTTTGGTGTTTTCCATGATCATCATTATAAAGTTGTTGTACTTTCAATCCAGCACTCTGGGTTTGACTTCCCCCACCTACCGTTTGTGATGTTAACGGCGGTAGACTATAGGGATGAGCTGCCGCTGGATTCATATGATTTACCCGGGTCGTCATACTAATGATACTTCCCTCCGGTTATGTTCCTTCCACTGCAATTTTATCCGTTTAATTTTCCACATTTGTCGAGATCAATACTTCCCACATCTTCCTCAGCATGTATGCCACTTGAAGAAACACTATTTCGTCCGATTTAAATGTGTTTCAGCAACGTTTACTGCTCACTCTGTTGCTATTTTCAAGACAAGAATGGAGGATTGGTTGCCAAGCGGTTGGTCAACGTCACAACTTCTTGTTACGTCATGGAAACTGCGGTCACGTGATACAACAATGTGAATTACACATGGTTAACAGGCTAAACAAAAACAAATCCCTCTCGTGTACAGGAAGAAATTGATTTGCAGGTAATTATTAACTTTCCGATAAGTTCTTATGAGTATTTCTTTTATATATATTGAGTCATTGATTAGTTTGTAGCAGTTGTCATTTGATTTTTCTATTCTAAAACGAAGAATGAAGGTAAGGTTCTAACAGATCTCGGCTATATACGCACTTGTGGGTCGTCGCAAAAACACCACTTTGATATCTTTATGTTCGCATGTGACTAATTATTGTTGTTCTTTTTTTGTAGACATTTATTAAGTGAAAATGGAAAAGAGAACCAATTGCAAATGTTTGCTTACGATTTTGTAAATTAACAAGAATGAAAAATAATAAAATGAGCACAATAAGAATACATATATTCTATCATTTAATATTCCAAATTGAAGTGTTAATTACATAATTTCCATTGTAGTTTTAGAGAGAATTGGAAGAAAATAAAAATGAAATACAATAATGTTAAAAATTGTTAGTGTACAGAGGTTTCACGTATGCTGTTTAAGTTTAGGTATAGGAGAGATTTAGTATACGTGTTTAATAGGAAGGAGTAATGAAAAACACCCTGCCCCAGGTTGGATTCGAACAAGCGACCCTGTGGTCTCTAGCCAGATACTCTAACGCTTCGCTAAAGGGAAATTCCCATTAGGTGGGTCTAGTAAGACAACCTGTTTTCTTAACTTCTACATATGTAAGTTGGGAAAATGAGATTGACCTAGAAAACAGGACAGCGAATACAATTTCCTTCATCAGTTGGTATGGGAAAATACAATATCAGGTGGAATAACAAAGTGTAAGCAGCTCTTTAAATTTGTTTCCAACCAAGTGTCATCCAAACTGGCCACTTCTCGAGAATTTAGAAATATTGTCATCTTGTTAACTTACTGTTTTTACATCGGAAGAAATTCATTTCTGTCACAATTTGTACATGTTAGAATCCCAAGGAGTCATCTCAAATGGGAAAATATGGAGTTTGAAGATCTTATCCTTAAGTAAAAACAGAAAAGCAAATGTTAGGAAGGTTGTACCACTGTTAACAAGAAGCCCATGGGGCTTAACAGTCATCTGATCATAAAGACATATATATGAAAAAGGCCAAATAGGCCTAAATTGTTAAACTATTCTATAGCTTACAAACAAGACATTTTAGGTTCATAAATACATTTTCTGCATTTTCCTTATACATGCTAGTACACAAATGTCATGTCTCTAGACCTATGGCATGTTGAAGAAGAAACATTAAAATATCCACTCTTTTGACCTCTGAGACTCTGAATAAATTTAGTAGCCCATCATTCAATTAAGTTAAAGTACCATTATCAAAAGCCTGGACATTTTGGTTATTGTGAAGAAGTAAATCTTACCTATATAACAATAGTTGGCTTAGAGTTACCAAATAACATTTGTCTCGCCCCTAACAAAGTACTGTACTGAAAAATTGGGATATTACTGACTGTGTCAGTAGTGTTGCTGTCATTTCTGTGTTCATGTTTGTAAAAAAAACTGCCTCATTTTCAAAAATGTCATGTGAATCTGAGACAGGTTTCCGGAACCAAAGAAGTGGTCAAGATGGACTGTGAATATTGGAATGGTAAAGAAACCTAATTGGAAGTGTTCAAAACAAGCACAATCAATAAGAACATTAATGTCCTCTCCTAAAGTTCCTTAAAAAGATTAAAACACATTTGACTCCTATGACCTTCACAGTCAGTCAGAATCAATCATATAAACAAAGTTGGTAGCCCTTCATCCCAGCATGCTACAGATCTGATATCAGGACCCTGGGCCTTTTGGTTACAGAGAAGTCATTTGAACGGAAATTACACAAGGTGGACAGCACACAATGATGGATGAAACTTGATGGCTACAAATTCAAACTCCATGAAGAAATTCAATTATCACGCCAGGAATAAATATAATCTGAAATAAATATAAACTTAACAATTAATTACAAAGTAATGTTTTAAAACTTCAGGATTTTACTCTTGAATAAAATTATCAATTAAATTAATCTCATAGGGCTAATTGTGATATTTAGGTCAGTTGAGACAATTTCAAGTTTCATGGTGACCTACTGCAATACCCTTTTGTCAGGTGTCATTCAGCATTCGTCATTCATCTGTAAACTTTTTATATTTTTGACATCTGGAAAACCCCAAAACTGATTTCAAGGAAACTTGGCAGAAATCTTCCATGTCCAAAGGGTAACCAAAATTGTAAATTATATGGTCCCCACCTCCTAGGGGCCAGAAGGATAGGACCCAAAAGGATCAACTTGACTTAAATTTCCAAAATCTTCTTTTCAATAACCAAATTTTGTAGAATCAACTACTCTTCATGGATGGAAGGGTCTTAAGGGGCTTTACCAAAATTGTAAATTTCATGACCTCAGGGTCATTTCCCCTTGAGGAGGGGGTAAAATTTACTGAGGGTTATATAAGAAAATTACATTTTCAGCACAATTTGTTTATTTTCTATTGGAAATAGGTCAATTGTTAGGATAGGATGACAGTTTGATGTTAAGCACATATTGACCCTGGCTGACTCCAAAGGTCTGATGGGCAGGGCCAAAAAGCGTAAAATTTACTGAAATTTCAAAGGTCTTCCCCTCTTAATACCCAAATATAGAATCTAGTACTCTTTTTGGATGGAGGGATCTCTTCTGTCCCTATACAAATAGCATTTCTCATTTTCTTTTCTCTATGCTTCATATTCATTCCAGTTCACTTAGGTGACTTAGGCCCCTGGGCCTCTTGTTTATAATCAAGAACCACATATGTATCATGTAACTCAGTGTATATTTAGAAAAAGCACAGAGGCATAACTCTGTCAGAAACAAAATAACAGACATGATTAATTTGGCCTGGAGATTCTGATAGAAAAGGATATCATGTTTGTTCCAATAAATGACCTTGACCAAACTATTTTGTTGCTTGGTTCAGATATGGTGAACAGGAAGCCTAGAATTTTCTTGCCATCGATTTAAGAAAGTTCAGAAGAAAAAGTGACATTGACACATGAACCAAGTGAGATAACAGGTGTATAAAGAAATAATGGCCCATTGTGCTTCCTACATACAAAGTAGTAGGTATGCATAATAAATTCAGTATTAAAATCAAGCAGGGAGGTGAAGAATCAACAAGAGATCCCAGAGAGATTGTAACACCTACCATTGTTGGAGCTTTATATGCTCTTTGAAAGTTGGATCTTTTCCCTTCTTTTCTCTTCTGTTTTCTGTTTTTGCTCTTAATGATAAGACATTTGAACATACCTTTGCAGAAATAGTGATCTTTACCTGCCAAATTCAAAATGGCTGCCTGGAAGGAAACTGACAATGGACCACGGAGGCAGAGCGATATAGCCTACCATCTGATGATGCAAATCAGAATGGAAGAATTTCATTTATATCATTTAACAACATTCTTTTAGATATGACTGCAGACACTTGACATTTCTTTATAAATATACATTTATTTCAATAAACACACAGTGTAAAATATAAATACAATCAGGTTATGTTCAATTCATTCTTTTATGCATTTTCATACTTACTAAACTTACAAAAGGACCTTTGTTCATGCTTAATAAAATTATTCATAGGGAAACATTTCCATGTATAAAATGTTGCAACCTGTAACTTTGACAGAAGAAAATCGAGATTCAAATTAAAGAAAAAAGGTTTACTTAACAAATTTGCAGATATTGGTCTATGTGTATAAAGTGTCACTTCCTAATCCCAGACATTCAACGAACAAATGTTAAGTACACTAAATCTTCCCAAAACCCTGTGCAACAAATGTCAGATGATTTCGGAAAAAAAAAAGTTTTTTCTTGAAGTGTTCATAAACTCTTCTTGAAATGATATTCCATAAGATCTACTGGATTTTCCTCTTGATTGACACCTTCAGTTTCCTAGAAATGTAGAGGATTGACTGTAGGGATTCAAATCGAACAACACTATTCCTCCTTGTCACAGATATGGTGAGAAGTTCCAATTCATTGCAATGGATACATATACTTCCGAGTGTGAGACATTTCCAGATGCAATTTTGTGATGCAATCCATACACTAAATCCTGTATTTTTTCATGTATATGAAAGCAGATTGATTTCATAGCATCCATCAACCTGAAAAAGAACAGAAAAATATCATGAAATAGAATCATAAAAAAAGGTAACTTGAAACATACAAATTTATAGTTATCAAACTACAACTCATTTCAATATTTGTATGAAACATTTGTTTTTCTATTTACTTTCATTGTGTTCATTCTGCAGTAACAATTTGAAATGAAGAGTAAATTTGAACAGCTTAATTCATATAAGTGGGTATGTAACAAATTTATAGAAATTTTGAATTCAAATTGAACAATGAAGTGTTTTGAAATCAGAACCTTGGTGCCATCTGGTGTAAGGGAGATAACTCTCTTGAAACACATTCTAGTAACCAAGATGTTATTGAAACAAATTTGAATGTAGCAAAACAGGAATATTTCTGACACAGGAAAACAATACTGAAAATTTGTTCAATTTCTGCAAAATTGCAGGGTCCTATTTATATACATAAAAGATACCATAATATAGGGTTTTTGCATACCATCTAAATTATGAAAGTATAGCTGCAAAAATATGATGTCACAATCAAATCACTTCAACAGTTTCTTGATTTTTTGATATAAGAAAACAAAATAACCAATATCATAAGTGAAAACAGATGTCTAAATAATTTTCATACATCAAATCTGCCAAGAGCTTTATCAGTTTGGCTGGTTGATACACCTTCAGACAGTGCCCACAGCTGTTGTAAACTAGCAGATATGGCATCCACACTCCCTAATCCCTGTAAAGAAAATTTCAGGATTATATTGGTTAATGATCATGGAATTAGCAAAAACTGATATCATTTCAATTTAAAATCAATGTAGGAGTAATGGAAACTATACATAATAGTAAAATGCTTGACAGAAACATACTACTAACACTGAACTATCAAATGAACTCTCACAAGAAATAATATACCTTTTAAATATTCTGACTTCAACAGAAAGTGCAATGTTATGTAAAATCAGTTCCTAATCCACAAACAAAATTTAATCCATATTAGAGGTACAACTGAATGATAGGAAGTAGTCAATTGTTTAAAAAAAACATATGAGAAAAACCTGTGAAGCATGAAGCTTAATATTCCAAGCTTGAATGCATTTTTCATTACCTACATAGCAATAAAACTTTCAACATTGGATTCCAGAATAAGAAAAGTGAGCTTGTTTTGGGCATCATAGAACCACACAATTTTGCAAATTTCTATCAAAATTCAAAACAATAAACTGAAAACAATAAAACAGCAGTATATACTATATATATATATATATATATATATAAATATTTATGTATAAACTTTTTCATTGGCTTTGAATTTGAGTGGTATATTTATTGATTAGGTTATAATGAGACTTCCTAGTCTCCTTGACAACCTGACATCATTATAATTTCATCTATTGTGAAACCTCTCCAATTCTGACCTCAATAATTTAGAAATTATGATGTGTCCAAGTAAAATTATCAGTGAGGTTAGAAACTAGAGTTTTTCCCAATAAACTTGTGCTCCCAAACTAAGAGCTAAAAATGAAAGACGAAAAACATACTGTGAAAAAAGGAAATAGCAAGAGAGGGCAACACAATACAATGGTGTGTATAACCAAACTATATAGAGTGGTATCAGTAAATGGTATGTTATACCATTGCCTCAATGTTTTATATACAAAGTACAGTATACTTATAAACAGCAGCAGGAAAAAAATTGTTAGAATATACCATAACAAGAACAACCTGAATAGCCAAATAGTCCATGTGACACTAAAACCATTCACCATATAAACAATCACCAAAACAAAAATACACTGAGGAAGGTAACCTTGCTATCATTTAAGGCTAGTACACAGAGGAACTTAAAAAACCTTGACCTTCAATATAATGTATTACCGCTAACTCATTATCTCCTTTCCTTGCAAGAAGATAAATGAGTTTTGTTTTTTGCTGACTTTTTGTGCAGTGCTGCAAGGTTAAATTTACTACATATTTATTTGAATTTATAATATGTCCCAATAAACACTGCTTGGAAATTGTTTGCAGCTGAAATGGTAAAATATAGTAAGTGTAAATTAATAAATGCATATCTTAAAATAAAATGATTTGTTAAATCAACTTTTCATCCGATACTATCCAAGTAACTTTTTTACATGGTGTCTTTTATTTCAAAAGATCCAAACTGTCTATCTTCAATTTTCTTTTTGTCTTGGTTACGGTCAATGGACCAAGACAAAAAATATACCGTAATCAATGATAGATAGTCAAAATCCTTTACACAAGGTATCTTTTGGTATTACACACATAAGAAATAAATTTCTTTGCAAAACATAAAACAAGTATATTGTATTCTCATCATAACTGCAGTATATGCATGAATAATTCAGTCACAAGCTGAATTGTGCAATGAGATGTTGCAGCAGAACTATTGAAACTTCAGTACTTGACACTGACAGAAACCTTAAAGCATGAGCTGATATCATTTTAAAACATATATACATGTGTTACTATGAATGATAAAATATATACCAAAATGTCTCGCCATGAAAATGCTTGCATTTTTATTTTTAAAACAAGCAAAACAACATTTAAAAAAATATATATATACATGTGTTGCTATGTATGATAAAACATATACCAAAATGTCTCACCATGAAAATGCTTGAAATTTTATTTCATAACAAGTGAAACACAAATCTAATATGACAGATTGAAATCAGCACTTGACAAAGTTAGACTATGTGATAGAATGATATATGCAATTGTGTAAGATATCAAATATATTTCTATAATTACATAACAGAAGTGCAAATTGGCAAATTTCATAGAGTGACATGACTGAAATGTGTGATGTTAACGTAATTAAAAAGTATTAGGATGAAAATGGGTCTACATCTACAACAAAACTGCATGAAAGTTCTCAATTATAAGATTTAGTACGACAACCATTGACATAATTGCTATTAATTATCACCACTTTGCTACCTTTTGACCCCAAGGTTAGATTGTTTTCGTTTAATATTAAATTCCTCTGCCACTATAACTCTGTCTTAGTTTTTTCTTTAAATAAAATGAATAATGATGTTTATTGTTAAAGATTGATGACAGAGAAATTCAAACAAATTGTATGAAAGGATATCAATTCAATATTTTATCAAATTTTGTTTACTAAAATCTGACTTTCTATCTTAACTTATAACATGTTTTCATGAATTCATTTATCAATGAGGTATACATAAAGACCTTGATGCCCATAGCTGCTCTAGTTCTCCTCTATGACAGAATGTTACAGGGAAAAAAAGCAACAATCTTGTTGAAATATCACAATACTTGTACCAGGTACCACAAACAAAATGGCATGCCTGACTAATATAACAAAACAATAATTATATAATTAAATATGTATTTACATAATATATATGTAATACTAATTTTTATGTTATTGACCATAGTGCTTACTAAACAACAACTGACCTGAATACATATTGAATATATTAGATGATCTGACCACATGAGAACATTGTACAAGGTTTACTCGCCGAAGTCATTGCGATTAAATTTGTATGCCTTCTGTTAGTCGAGGCTAATTGATGCATCTCACCCTTGAGTTTTGGTTATCAGTTCCTGCAAGGACTGCACTTATTGTGTACACAACAGTTGTGTTCTAAAACTTAAATGCTGTTCCTATGTAAGATTAATCATAAAAGCATGACCAAGACCCCATTGAATGACCATTCATTTAAAAATATGAGCATCATTAACAGCTTGGGACCTACACCAAAGATGAGGACTTTAGTAATACATGAAAAGCTGTCACAACATCCCAGTTACCACTATAACAAATTAGTGGAAATGGTACAAGGCTGTGGAAGTAAATGTGTGCTGGTTATGGTAAGTATTGCATTTTATGGCATAAATACTACAGCATTTAAAAGCATTAAACAACTGAGTATGCGATGAAAAAGTACTGTTCAATGAATTTTCTAATCTTCAGCAGTAATTGCCGATAAGAAAATTGCAATATGGTTGTATTAACTGTATCAAAATTTTTCCATTTCTTTCTAAACTTTTTCCTGGTGCCAGTGACATGTACTTGGAATAAGAGAGTGTATATTTAATGTGCATTGTATATGTCAATATATAACAATATTTTCTGTATAACTGTAATGGAGTTATATAATACTATGGAAATACATTGGGACTAATGGTAAAAAGGTTCTGATCAGAGACATGTTTCAGATACAAAACCTCAAAAAAAAAAAAAAAAAATATAGAGCTGGAGGAAATATTTTACCATAAAATGCAAATACATTTTCTAGTTGTGCTACATAATCAACAGCAATACAGAAGCATATTTTTCAACCTTTGTCCTGTAAAAGTTTTAGAATATGACCGGCGACTGAGAGCTACAATGATATAGGTAGAAGCATCCATCTTACCGCCACATTACCCCCATTTTGTAGGGGAGCTACATCCTGCTCATCCTCATAGCTTACTGAACTATCAAAGTGCTGGACAAACACAATTATGTACACATCAATCAACATGCTTTAGTTAAATTCTTTTCAATAAATTAGTTATAAACTAATCCTCGGACAAAATTTCCAACCTAGGCTTCAAAAAACTTGGTTTTGGTAAACATCATAATGAAAGATGACAAATTATTTGAATAAATATCAGCAAGGCATTGATTAATTTTGAATACATGTATAATCAAAATCGTATCCATTGGCTGAAAGTTTGTACTTGTATCATAAAATATCTGAGGAGAAAAACGTTATCACAACTACATATAAAAGTATAAATGTTTATTGTAGAAAAGCTTGATAAATCTATATACATATGTATATCTACTTACACAATGTTAAGTTTGATGAACACTGATTTCAAATATATTCCTACATATATATAAACTTTACACCTGGAAAAAATTATCTACTTTTAATTTGTTTTCAAAATATGCTAAGTAAGTAACTATCTCCAAAAACATATCTAACCTAATTTCCCACTGATATTTCAAAGTGACCTTTAAAAATTATGGCATATAAGAATTTTTTTCTCTTAATAAGTCAGAGTTGAATGCTCACCTAATCACTTTGTAGAAAATAAAGAAAAGTAGAAAAACATCTTTCAAAAAACATGAATGCCAAGCACATCAGAAGACGTGACAACCTAGGAACACATTCTCATTCAGGATGTTCTCATAATAATGTCACCCCTTCTAAAACTGAAGTCACTAAGAGTGATGCTTCTGAACTAGTTGACGACTTTCAATAAACAGCATATTAACCGTCTACTAAGTAAAACAGGCTACTGTTCAGCATACGGTAACATTGGTAGGACACTGAAATGCATTGTATTATCAGCATCAATTTAACACCATATTGAACAACCAATTACATTTCTATTATATAGGTAATAAAGTCTGTAAACCCTTGGACACAACATTGAAATAGTCATTCATCCATTTGCTACCACAGATAATGACAAAACACTTTTGCCAAAAACAACCCATCAAAATCATAATTTTTTGCCTATAGCCTAGATACTTGAAATAAAATTTCTGCCTTTCAAAGATCTCGTCATAATTCATAATTTTCAATCTCAGTACAATTGTATCAATGATTTATTTTAACAATCTTCAAGACATCACTTCTGACTACAGTAGACTGCAGTGTTGGCTTTGTTGATGTCTCAATCAGAAGTCAGAGTATGACATCAAAATGTAATGATGTCATGTCTAGGCTGATGATGGTGTGGGTGATTTGAGAAAAATCATAAAAATGACATGGGTACATGATTATATACTGTATGAAATATATAAATTTATGTGATAAATGTGTAAATATATGTTACCCCAACCCCTCATCCTTAACTGATCACCTTTAGAATAATTAACCCTTACCTCAATTCTTTTCTTGCTGGAGCTGTTTGAGGCTTCCTCTATGAGCCAGGCCGGTAGAGGTTGTGGTCGATTTGACTGAGTTAAATAAAAAATCATAACAGCTTTAATATACATATGACTTAATTTGACAAGAATTTGAGTTGTGCGGAAGTAAAATTTTCACCAGAATCAATTAAAAGTAGACTTTATTCAAACTGTTCACGGAACTCCATATTATACACAAATTCACATGTATACGATTCTTATACTAGATAATTACTAAGATAATTAATATTAATGAGTGCAGAAAAAAATTAAAACAATGTATGTTTCCTGCAGCCTTTGTTGTAATATACAGTACCTCCGATGAACGATACAATTTGATCTCCTCCAGTCTGAAATCTTTCCATACCGGAGATGGTTGCATCAAAATCAGACGCACGCCTGTAAGCTGGTTCAAGTCAAAGCTGAACTGGAAAACAAAAGAAAAAACAAACACAAACATTTTTAAGTTTTCTTGTCTGAAAAGAAAAGGAAAAAAAATATGAAAAGAGTTTAAAAAAATTAATATAATATTTTCATAAAGTCACTTTCATCCAGAACATTGCGATTGGCAGTACATTAAATAAATGGAATTGTTAATGATGAAAGTTTCGACATCATCAAAACATCATTGTTTGTTTATTGTCTGAAATAAGCGTCCTGTGAACAGAGTCATTTGAGCTCATGACTGAGATACACGTCCTGAGAACACAAACTTAACCAAATAAATACAGTCTAGATCTGAGATACACTTCCTGAGAAGGCACAAAATTAGCCAGATAAGTACAGTCTAGATCTGAGATATGGTTCCTGAGAACACAAACTTAATCGGACAAGTACAGTCTAGATCTGAGATATGGTTCCTGAGAACACAAATTGAGCCAGGCACGTCCAGATCTGTAATATTCTTCCAGAGAATACAGCTAGTCCAGATAAGTACCAAACTGCATACTGTAAACTTGAATAAATTCCACTTGAAGAGCCTCTCAACCCCTCCCCATCAACATTTTCTCTTCCATTAAACACACTTTCAGAAAAGATTTTGACTGTAAGAAATATGAATAAACTTAAACAAACTACATGTAATGATAAATGCCATACATTTCTGAATGTTGTGAAATAATTCACTGAGTCTGACTTAAATTACAGACTTAGATATTTCTGTGAGACACTGAATTAAAACCCCACAATCTATCACATAATGACGTATGCCTGTGCTCTCTTTCAATGAGCTGTTTCTTAAAGAGAATTCTTCATTAAAATTCATAAAATGAAACATACTTCTGCAATACAGAGAATTATTCTCTATACTGACACGATATATTCCCTTATAATGACATAATCTACTGTAAGACAGAGAATATTCCTATATATTGACACAATCTTACATGTTCCTGAGACAGAGAGTAACCCTATTTACTGACATTTTATATATTCCCCTATATAGACACAATCTTACAAGTTCCTGTGAGTAAGGACTAACCTGACACAATCATAGATGTTTCTGTATAGAATACTCTCCTTGACTGAAAATATATATCCCTATAATGACACAAACTTTAATGTTTCTGTGAGACAGAAAATACTCCCCTTTACTAATACAACATATTCCCCTATACCAACAAAATCCTACATATTTCTATGACAGAGAATATTCCCTATAATGACATAATATTTCACCTTATAATGACACAAATCTTACATGTTTCCGGGAGATACAGAAGTAGTCTTGAGATCCAGCTTCACAGTGAGGGTTCGGCATTAAACGCATCCTCCGTACACATGTCCGCCATTTTATTTCCGCTGAAAGCACAGCATCATATATTTCATTCCTTACATTAAAAAACCACTGATATGAATTTCTGTAATGTACAATGCACTCTCTCTCATCTTTCAGAAAATGTGGAAAGAAGTCATTCCTGTTTAACATCCTGGTAAATTTGTTTTTGCTCTTTGTCAGTGCTATGAGCCATGATGAATGGTTTCAAATTAAATGTACTAAAAATTGGTACTGGACATTCATACAAATGTATCTACCTCAGTCTGATATACTCACGAGTAACAGAGTCACTTCCAGCTTCTTGGGGTACAGGTTTCTGTTTGACACGAACTGTCAGATAAGCGACATAACTGTTCTTGAAATGAATCTCTCCTACCTAATAGATTGAATTTAAAAGTAAGATAACATTCATCAATAATACTCGCTAATTCATTTCGCCTACAATAGTATATAAACAAATCATTATTACATGAATAGCATTTGACTTGAACATATGTCATAGGTAAGATGTATAAGGTAGCATATACCCTTAACTCTAACTCACATTACAGGCAAAATATGCAATGAAGTATATATATAAACATGAATTATTTTTAAAATGTTTAATGTAGCATATACTCTCAGCTCCAATTTAATCATCCACTGACGATGTTTCAGTACAGTGTGTCTAAAAAAGCTTCTAAAAACCACATTTGATATTGTATGATAATAAAATATAAATGAATCCTTGGAGGAAAAATCATGCTTTTTATCGTCAACTTTTGGCAAGGTGAGGTAAAAACAAGAAGGGCGTCAATAGATAATCTACTTATAAGGTAATTTAATTTCATATTGAAATTCATGTCATATTCAACTCAAAAGGTTATAATCATACAGAGGTAGTTTACTTCACTGATCATCACAACAAGATATGATGTCTTTCAACTTTTTTTCTGAAACTGCCTCCAATACATCCAGCCAACCATTATTAGTTTATAGTTAAGATACCAAGGTTATTATCTTTTTTTTCACAAGTTCAAATTGTAATTTATGGAACCAAAGTTTTATGCCTGAAAGCAATTTGTGGAAACTTTACCCTGTAACTAATATAATCCCTCCTGAGTTTTTACATATACACATGATGTTTATTAGAATGAATATGGTAAAATAAAAATAGTTCCTTTTTCACTTTTAAAGTTATGTATATGTACTATATTTGGGTGAACTTGCCTTAAAACAGGAGTAGTGCATATTACAATTGTGTGAAATTGGTCCATATTTGTCAATGTTGAACACATTGTATTTTACTACAAATGCAAAACAAGATACCAGCATAAAGGGTCTTATTGTGTGAGGAATCTGGAGTACCCTGACTGGCCTGAGAAAACCAACATGGTCAGACAGGTGGCCCCTATACCTTTTCACATCTACCCACAGAATTGAACCCTGAATGTCTAGGTGTTATATTAGGTTATATGTACTGTGGGGGAACACATCACATGTACTGCTGTAAAAATGTTTTATGTATAATTTTTGTACCTTGTGCACTGGTATTTATTAAAATCATGATTGATAAATGTGTCTGCATCTAAAAAGGCTAACAGATGATTACATAATCCAAGTGACATTCAATTCAAAAACATCTACAAGAATTCAAATAACATACTTGTTGATATAAGGACATATAATACAAAGCTTGAAACTCAAGGATAAAGGGGAGGTAACCATTCAGTAACATCAATGCTGCCTAGATATACCAGAATGTTTATACATTGTATATTTATAGGTAAAGCAAATACATTATATATAACTGTAATATTATCTTCAAAAGGAATAGGGTAATATAATTGGTAATATCTAAACAAAGTATTTCTGGAAGCAGATTTAGACTGTTATGATAAAGTGGAAGGCATTAACATCACAAATAATAAGCATGTCAAGAAAAACATACACAACAAATGGCTGTACATCTGTATAAAGACAAGTGTGGACAGTTAACTGACCGTTTAACACCCATGCCATGACAAACAAACAATATACGACATAATTAAGCAAAAACTAACTACTTAAACAATGAACATTGCACTTAAATTCCATGATAAAAACAGACACAATTCAAAAGTTGTTAATTTTTATTTCGAAGTAATAACGGGTCTCTGTTGTTATGCATATGACCATTTCCGTTAAATTGTCAAGATTCTATTGTTACATACTAATTATGATTTAGGGGTCCCAGAATTCCCACCAAATGTTATAAGCCTAAGTCTGAAATAGATAACACCACGACATGATATATATGTTTTACACAATGTACAATGTATAGGTATGTAAAAATTACCCTGTCACAGATGGAAAGAATGGTTGTGCTCTGTAAAAGAAAGATGGAAACAAAAGGCTATTTATATATTTATAAACATTCAGAAAGTTGGGGATTTTTTTCAATAGGTTCTTGGTCAATTTTTGCCTTTTCGGAAGAGGATGTAAAATTGTAAAAAAAAAGAAAAATCACCAAAAATTCATACTGACAGAGAAAATCAAAGTCAGATTCAGGACTTTTATCCTTTTGCTCAAGGTTTTGGTAAAACCATGAAAATTTGATAGAAAACTACCTTTATAAATATAAAAACAAGAGGACAAAAAGCATCCACATATATAGAGAATATATGGTGACTGGTCAGTGTCTTAAAATATAAGCTGTACATTGGAGAGGGTGAAGAAAGACAAAAGTGGCAAACCATGTATTTCATTTATCCTGCAACATTGATTGAAAAACAAACTATTGAAACTTTAACAGTTGTTGTTCAATCTGTGTTTACCTAATGTTGATGTTATGCTGAAGTTTGCCTGATGATGGATGCCAAAGTAATAGTTCTACATGGCTATATAGTTCCAAACTTAATCAGATATAACAGCAATTTCAAGAATTTTCATAGATACACATTTTCATTACAAAATGTAAAATTGCTTATTTCAACAATTAATCATATTTCTAAACATTATATTTAAGTAAATTAAGAGAGTAATTACTTGGTGAATAAAAGTTTACCCTATAAGTTATAAGCATTTGCACAGAGTGGGGGCGAATTTTTGTCCGCTGTTCCCGGCCGTGATATTCATACCAGGAAATTTAAGAAATAACTAATATCTCAAGGACAAAAAAATCAAATATATATCATATTTTCTACAAAATTCTACTTAAATGTTTTAAAACTCTGGCACTTTGGAAGAGTTGATTTAAGTATCAAGATTTTTTTAAACCGATGATGCAGATTTTTCATGGGGAGAATACTTGTATGCCACACTCAACTGTGAATTTTTTTCTGATTTTCTGCTTGTGGTTATGAAAGTGTACAGTTTGCATGATAGATAAAGCAACAATAAGTTAATTGTCATCTGTGACTATTATTCAAATTTGATTTCAGATTTAAGAAAAAAAGAGGCTAAAACGAGGTAAGCTGTTTGCTCTTTTGATTACTTGCAACTATTCATTCTACTAGGCATATAGATTATTGATGAGTTCTAAAGCTATGCTTACTACTTTAAATTTAAAATTTCTTTATAATCGCCAAATTGTGTTCAATTGTGAGATGGACACGCTGGATCGATACATTGTGCATGGAGAAGTTATTTTCATCAGCCCTTCCTGGCCAAAAAAAGAAAGTGTTAACACTTTACCTCTGGGTTTGTCACATTTGGAAAAGTAATATCGATGACTCTGCAGCCTGAATGAAATTCATTTTTCGCGTCCGCTATAGTAAGAAGTACTGGATTCTTTATATTACAGTGAATTGGTCTATCTGACGCCATATATAACAGATCACAAGCATAAATTATATTTTGAGATGTCAAAATATGAAACACATCCAGAAGTAACTAAAGAAGCCATCAATGCTTCTCAAACGCTTGAGACAAAATCGTTCCATTAAACATAACTAAGACTGGGATTCAAGTGAAAAATAGATTTTCATTCTGTAATTGTACGGTTAAATTAAGTAGTACACATTTAGACGTAATTTTTATATTTAATTATGATTCCATGATATGAGTCATAATTTTATAACGAGTGATTAATGTTGATGAAAATGAGATTCCCATGATCCGCTAGAAGGCGTGACTGACAGTCGAGCAAGATGGCCGATTTCGGTGAACCCATCTCCGATCAAGAGAAGGTAATATCACGCAGATTTAATGTATTCAAGGGTGCTATTTCATAATTGATCGTACGAATATGACTGTATAATGCTTGTCATTTAGTTAAAGAAGAAATCCGATGCTTTTGTTACGTACATGCTATTGAACTTTGATAGCGGTTTGAGATGAGACCGTTTTTCCTGATCACTTCCGCTTTCAGTAGTTTTGTTGTAATCACATCATTTTGTGAAAGGTCGATCGCCGTGTAACTCTAGGTAGTGAGTCATCATTAAGTCACAAATCGAGTGTACACCTTATACGGTAATCAGGTTTCGCATTGTATCTCTTTTAAGTTTCAAGTCATTTGACATTTACGAGTATCTTGTACATTGTACTTAGAAGAAGACAGGAAGTAGATTATTTCTATGTCAGAAAACCTATATACATCGATCCTTTAATTGTCATTTTCACTGGTTAGGTATTAGATTAACAAATGGATATTTGTATATTAATACATCATTGTTTTGAAAAGGTCACGCTTATATATATCTCAATTAGGAAATAAAGACGAATTTTGGACAACACTGACGACTGAGTTATTGGTGTTGTACAAAGTAATATGGCGTCTTTTGACTGTGAAAAATATGAAGAACATACAGTAATGCTTGTTTCCTCTGGTCAGTATTATTTAATTTCAATCGGTGCATGCACGTCTTGGAAATACGAAAATGATTTAAGCATACACCAATTACATGATCATGATTTAAGCATACACGTGAAATATCACAAGTAATGGTTTTGCAGTTGATGTGATAGTATACTAAGTTTATCTCTCTAGAAAATGCCTTTTTGTTAACCAATTATTGGTTTCTAGAGATAAATTTCTGAGTGGATTTGTTTTACTGTAGTTTTGGAGTAAAATTTTGAGTCACCTGGTAGATTTTTTGGTAAATTGTATTTAGTTTTACATGTGAAGAACATTCAGACACTGATCAGATTATCTACCAACTCACAAATACAACATTCAAAAAAGGTGATTTTACCAGATGTGACATTGCATACTAGTAGTGGCCAGTGAAAATTACTGATATTAAAATGCAAAGTAAAATTATGAATATAAAAAGGATATGATTTTAATTAAACTAAATGGTTACAATGAAAACTTTGACATAGACTGAAAAAATGTGACCTATTGTGATATGTCAGTGGAAACATTTGTATTTTCATTTCTACATTATCAATGAAAATAATGCAGACAGAATATACTTTTGAAATGAAAATTCAAACAGTCATTGTTGTATTGATTTGAGAGAAATCAGTTTTAACGGGACAGTAAGTCAATATATACATATATTTTTTTGATTAAATTTCCCTGTTTGCTGATTATATGAGGAAGCTAGTAATCATTACCGGGCCAGCTCAAGGATGATTAGATATTGTAATGAAAATCCTGCATAGCATCCTGTGTTTGGTGTTACCAGTCAGGGTAGGGTATGTTGTGACACTAGTTGTTTGTATACTACCATCAAGGGAAATTATTACATGTATCGTGTACAAAAAATATTTCCATAGAGTGATCAGGCTTTACAGACAGCTTGTTTGTCAATAAGTAGATTACTCAGTTGGGTGTTTTTTTCATTAGTTTGAGATGGAGCTTTTTTTGCCTCATTTGGGGAAAACTTGTTTGAAAGTTTGGAAATTGCTCTGATAAAGAAATTGTTTTATCTTAATTTCCCCATCTGGCCTCAGAAAGCCTTGTAATTATAAAATTAGCTATCCATATAAAGCATTGACTTAAAATACTGTGTATGCAGTATATGTAGTTTTTTAAAAGCTTTTTAACAGGTATCTGATTCTTCACTAAACATGAGTTAGTTGTTCATTTACATTTTATGTTTTAAGGATTTATATGTAATTTTGTTTTGTTTTGGTTGCATTTTTTATTATTATTTTTTTTTACTTTGCAGATAAACATAACAACAAACTTCATTCTTCATGCACCTCCAGGAGAATTCAATGAAGTTTTTAATGGTTTGTAAAAACTTTCTAAATTGTAATTAATCGAATAGATCATGCATATATACTGTAAACTTGGTGATAATTTTTTTTTAAATGGAATTCTTTTGGTTAATTTAACAGTAACTTTAGCTGATATTTGTAAAGTTTTGATAAATAAATTGATTATTACATATATATATTGATTTGGAGGCCAAAGTTATATCGGACTGGACATTATGGTGTAGGTATTCATATTTGTAGATTGAGGATTCAAAGGATTTTAAATTTAAGACTTTGATTGGTATTTGTATAGAAGTACAACCCTGGAGTGTTAATTCTAAGAGAAAAATGTCAGCTTGTCTTCTTGTTTATGATAGTGAGCTATTTGATTTAATAAACTCAATTTAATTTTTCAGATGTGAGGATCCTGTTGAATGATGATAACTTGCTGAAGGAAGGAGGATCAGGGTATGATTTAGTCAGGGTTTCCTTTCCATTAACAGCTGGACGTTGGTTTGGCTAGCATTTCATAAAGACCAGATGTTGTTTAATGTGTATTTAGGCGAGACTGTGATTGCTTATGTTGTTAGAGTTTTGGCCTGCATAACCTCAGGTGAAGATGCAAGGTGCATGGTTTGACACTCACTATCCACAGTATTTTATGCTTCTAAGGAAGCTGAGCAATGGACTGGTATGTACTGTTGTGGTTGTAGTCCATGAGCAGGACACTTTGCCCTAATCACTGTGGATGGTATATGGTGAGTCTCTCGTATGTTGTGTAGTGATGTAGCTATCAGCTATTACAAGAAGATTAGCCACAGAATGGTTGTTTATGGTGCAGTAACCCAACAAACAAACAGTTGACCTGTATTGAAGTAGATGATCATGAAATAATTTATCCAATTACGAGTCTGTTTTCATGGACATTATCAAAGTCTGTTTGACTCCTGACCCCTGCTTCAAAGGAATACAGAGCTTTATACGACTAAGTGAGTGGGTTTCAGTCTCACTCATTGCTTTCATTTGATGAGGAAGCAACCAGATATATATTCTGACTCTGTCACTGAAAACAATTCAAAACTCATTCTAAATGAAGACTTTATGTAGGTTAAACAGTTTTGAAGAAAAAAATGAAAAAAAAGAGATTATATATAGAAATGTATTTAGATAAAAATATTTGTCAGTTATGGATTTTGAGCTTTTTAAAACATGGTGCATTGATTGACTGTGACATTTGAATAAATCCTGACAAAATCCAAGGTCATACAATGTAAGTCAAGGTTATCGGTGAAAAATTGTAAGGCAGCAGTAGTGGTTTTTAGTTAAACCTGTTAAATAGATAAAAGGCAAAATTTAAGATTCAGGCGAAATTAAACATTCCTGGTAGGCTTTTTGTGATGTATTCATCTTTACAATTTCATGTTTTGTAAGGGTGTAGACTCCACTTTATGCTGCTGTGTTTGATTATGTGGTTATTCTGGACAATTTGTGTTTCATTGTTCTAAGATCAAGGTCATCCAATATTTATAAGAAAGAAAATTTTTCAATTTTATGACATTAATGATTGCAGTTTTCAAATATTATTATTGACTGTTTGAAAGAAAACTTTGATGTTTGAATTAATGAAAAAAGAATTTTTGGATTCAGAAACACAGGTATAAGACTTTGGATTCGGTGAAGTTGATATGATATTTTTGTTTCTTTTACTCCACAGAGCCTTTGCTCAGTACAACAAGGACCAGTTTACACCTTGCAAAGTAGCAGATTCCGAAGAACAGGTACCAGAGAAAGCAATAATTTGTATAACCCCTTTTTACTGCCACCGCTTATCGCAAAAATTCTTGGCAATATTTTCATGGATCATGATATGCATGTACCTATTTTTTGAAGAAAAAGTATATCATATTTCATAATAGCATTTCTTGTGTCATGACATCCATTTTTGACCTCTATACATTAAGTTTTGAATTTTAATCGCTGACCAAACTAAAAAGTCAAATATACCACATTAAAAGGTGGACGTTAATAAGTATTATATTGTTATCTTATAATTCTGAAAGGCATTGAGTAGCTGTGCCCCTGTGTATCTGAGATTCAACCTTTAATATACTCTTAATGGATGATGATCTTTTTTTTCAGGTTTTAATATCTGAACATGGTGATCTAGGTAACGGTAGATTCCTTGACCCAAGGAACAAGAAATCATTCAGGTGTGTACACTATTTATATCGAAATTGTTCATTCACCAACAGCGTAAATTACTTGTATGGAATTCTTGCTTGACATCTATTTCAATTTTTGCTTTCTGATTATGAAAAGTATATAGAGAACTATCTCATATGGTGCTGAATTTGATGCAGACATATTAATTATGAAAATCTTAGTGTGAATAAAGTAGATAAAATGGTTATCAATTTGAAATTCTTAGTATGTGTGACATAGGGCTGTATCAATGGACTAGTGGTGGGAACTGGTCCAAAAATCAGGATCATTCATATCAATCACTTGTCTTTTAAATCACTTGATGATCAATAATATAGCATACGCTTTGAGGGGGAGAGGGATATAAAGTTTAAGAGTGTTCTGTAGATAAATATTGCTTGAAAATGTAGATATATAGTCTCAGTCTTGTGATACTTCTGAGAGTTTAGCCTTCTGAATTTTTGATGGAATTTAGTTCATCCATTTGTGATAAACCATTATATTGAAAAAAATTAAAATACAAGCAATCATCAATAAAATTCATTTATTTGTTCACAATTGCCAGGACTATATCTCTTCTGCTTCAAATTCTGCACTTCAGTTCTAGTCTGTAAGCAAATAAACTCTTAACATAATCAGCGATGCTTCAAATCTACATTCCTATTTTAACAGGTACGACCATTTGAAAAAAGAGGCAACTGACTATCAAGATGTTGACGTCGACAGATCAGTCGAGCCTTGGAGATCAGCAATAGAGTCTGCACTGACTGCCTACAGAGACCAACATTACAAATTTGGAGTGGTCAGCGTCTATGGAAGTGTACAAGGGGGAAGCATAACCATTATAGCCTGTATAGAGAGCCATCAATTTCAGCCGAAAAATTTCTGGTAAATTTCATCAGCTCTCTGACAAACAATTTATAGACAGAATAATTTTGCTGGACGTTATTGCCACTGCTTGGGATAATAATGGTGCAGAGTGATAAGAAAATTTGTCATATATTTTCTTATTTCCCCCCTTTGGAAGGCTTTGCATTTCTTTTGTTTGAGGAAAATAATGTTGATCACTTTCATATCTAAATTAGAAAAATTTAATTTTCATTGTTGGAATTAAAACTTTAGAATTGACTTATTGTAAGAATCAGTTTGTTGTTTTATATTGCTAAAACTGTAATCTGCTGATTGTTTTGCTTTCCTTTAGGAATGGTAGATGGCGTTCTCAGTGGTCCATGACCTTTCCCAGCTCTGGGGGCAAGGTTGACCTCACAGGAGTATTTAAAGTTCAGGTATGTAACCTTATAGAGCTGTTACATCCTTCTTTTCTTTCTATTTACTATCACTGAATGCCTTTTTTTCAATGTACTCCCATTTTGTATATTTTCTCGTCTGCTGAAAGGCCAAAATGTCTTGTAGTGGACATTTAGTGTGTTAAATGAAATAGATGATAGACAAAAGCATGTCCAGTCATAATAATCCAGATGTTGATATGAAATACTTCACAATCGACCTATCAACATCATGTAAATGTGTCACAGATGTGATTTTGAAAGTAAATTGGAATTGACAAAGAAATCTGATAAGGTGATAAATTTGATTTATTTTGCAATAGCTGCTAAACACTTTAACATTCTTGTCAGCCCTAGTTGAAGCATGTGAGGGGTCATAGTGTGGGAGGTAACCAGAGTGCTCAGGGAAAACCCACATTGTGGGGCGGGTGTCCACCATACCTTTTCACAACTGCTCCCGGAATCAGTCTCTGGTCATTTGGGTTAAAGGCGAGTGTGGTACCACTACACCACCTGTCCACCTATTTCTCTTGTTTCAGTTCTGGTTTTGAATGTAGAGAAAATAACTGGATTGAATATGGAGATCTGAAATAACAATTGAAAATAGAGAAATGCATTTGTGTATGAAAATTGCTATATACTGATTTAAGAAAGTAATAGAATTCAGTGAATTTTAAAAGACTGAGGATTTATGTTTCAGTAAAAACTATTGAATTTACTCTATTATATCAGTATGACACAATTATTTATAGCTATTATTATATGTACATATATCATTGTTCACCACACTGTTATGAAAGTGTCAAAAACTGTATTTACTAGGACTGTATATGTGCATAATTTATGTGATATATAGAATTAATCACCACTCAAAAAAGTGCCTGATAATTGCAAGGGAGACAACCAACTCCTTGACCAAATCTATACGTAAATTTACAAGTATGTGGCCAAACAAATTCTGTGATATTTTGTTCAAATTTTTTATTTACTACTATGTGCTGTGTAAGGATTTCAATATATTGAAATATTGATATTGAAATCTGTCATCTAAATACCAATTTTACTTACTTTGTAAATTTTTGTGTGTATTTTTTTAATGTAGATATAGATTTTTTTTCAGTTTGTTGTTTCTTTATGATTTTAAATAACATTTCAAAAAAAGAAAAAAGAAAATTTGGAGAAATATCAGGGTTTTTGTTTTGGCATTTTTCAAAAAATTAACAACTCATGGTAATGCTTTTATTATCAGAAAATTATATTCACATGGTAGCATTATCATTATGTAAAAGTTTCAAGAAAATACAGCAGTTAATTGCAAATATGTTGAGCCTCCTTAATTGTTATGTTATTAGCCAATTTTCTGATATTGACTTCCAGTGAGAAGTAATGTGTTGGCCCCCTTAGCCTTAGGTGAATGGAGTAAGGTAAACAAAAAACACACCAGTAAATGATGAACTACAAATCATGTTTTGATTTATGAAATGCCGAATATGATTGATGATGTTAACAGACCATATTTTTTTCATCTTGAGTTTTATGTTAGTAATTTCAGAGTTTTGTTGATGATTTCAATAGGTACACTATTATGAAGATGGTAATGTACAGCTCGTGAGCTCAAAGGAAGTGAAGAAGACATTAAATGTGACGGTAGGAAGCGATTACTTCTCTATCTATCTGTTCTCAACACATCCTTAGCCCTTGTTTCTTATAAACAGATAACTTTTGGTTACATTTGATTCTGAAACATGTGAAAGTGGTCATTCTATCATACTAGTTAAATAGATATAATATTAACCTGCAAATCATTAAATATGCTCTATGTACCTCATCAAATAGTGATTCTATTTTAAGGTGCCAGCTATTTGTATTACAATGTCTGAAATATGTTATGCTACATTTTGTGTTGAGTTTTTCTGTACTTACTGGCATCGGTATTCATAAACTTGAACAGTGACCTTCTATTTTTGTCTTGAATATCAGATCTTTGCAGGCTTAAAAAATACTTCATTTTTCTGTATATTTTCTTGCAGAGTGAACAACAAACAGCCAAGGATTTTGTAAATATGGTCCGAGATTCAGAGCAGGATTATCAGGTATGTTGCTTTTCTTAATATACTTGATTATTGTTTTTTAAGTTCCAAAAAAATATGTCAGTCTTCTGTCACTATGGACATGTTCTTTAATAAGTTGTACAGACACAGATTTTTGCAGGAAACTTATTAACGATTAGTTATGATTGGTGAACAGTGCTTCTCAATAGGAACATCTTTTGAGATAATATATTTTGGTTTTTCAATGCTCAATATCAATTTAATTTCGATGTGTTATTACTGCACTTTGGAACTTTTTTCCCTCTGACAGAATGCCATAGGTGAAAACTATCAGACCATGTCGGATACAACATTCAAAGCTCTTCGAAGACAGCTACCTGTAACAAGGGCAAAAATAGACTGGAACAAAATAGTGGGATATCAAATAGGAAGCCAAATAAGCAAGAACAAAGCATGAGGCATGTGAGCTTCTACGGTCTGATATGTGCATAGTGGAAACAAAAATGGCTGAACTAAAGGAACGGCACTGCAACGACATCAGCTGTATATCAAGACTTGCCAGAGTGGGAAATGGAAATGACACTGGCATGTCAGAATCCTGGCAGTTGGAACGGGGCGTGCAAAAATCTTTACGTATTGTTTCAATAATTGGCAAGACCGGCTTCAGAAATATTCACTACTGTGATAATTAACTGGTACTGATTCGTTATGTATACATGTATGTATTGCATTAACAATATCGCCCTGGAATACCAAATTCTCTCTTACTACAACTGGAACAGACGATGGAAAAAAAATTTCAATTGCTTTTTGGGTATTTTTTTTATCCTTTAATTTCAGGACAAATCACGCAAAAATTATAATTTAATTGGCACTGTTTCTGATTTTACAATATGATGCTAAACATATGATGTAACTTAAGTGCAATTTATTGGATTTTATATCCTTAATTTACGTAGAATTAAAGCATTATATCTTAAACAATTTCAATTGAATATCCTTTGAAATTGAACTGCGATCTTAGACAAAATGAGAATATGTCTTTTTGATTTTGTTTAGTTGCATACAAATTGACACAGGTGCTTTTTTGTCTGCTTTTTTGAGACCTCTGCATCAGATTTGACCTCTGAACCTGTAGCTAACCTTTGACCTCCTAGCGAGCATTGTTTAAATTATTCAGGCAGTGTTCTTTTAGTTAATACTGGTATTAGCATTTACAAAATCCTAACTCATTCTTAGAGATTAATGTCATTTTTTCTTGAGAAGTTCATGTTTCTTTGTTTAAATCTGTATGGTGCAACAAGAAATTGTACAGAGGTAAATTGTCCTAGACTAAAATGGACAATCAGGTATATATTGGCAGAACAGTTTTTACCTGTAGGAGAACAGTCGGCAGAGAAACTTTAAAAATTTTGTCAAACAAAGTAGTGAATTCAAAGCAGGTTTGTGATGCTTCTTATATCATAAATCTAAGTATTGATCAGAACAAGTGAAATCCTCTTACTTTAATTGCATGCATAGAAAATCTGTGAAGATCATGGATTTGTTTTCAGTTTTCTGCTGTTAAAAGATGATACAAAATGTAATTATAGTAAATCATGGCTATAATCAATTTAATATCATGTATATAGGAATAAATTTAAAAATAAAATCCAAATATCAGATTTACTGCTCCTCTGCTGTCATACTATTGATGTTGAATTTAAAGTACTAGTATTACTATCAATTTGTCTCAACGCTTTGTGGAGTGGGGCCTTTTTATTCAGGACAACAATAAGTTGACAGCAGAAGTTATCAGAACATACACTGATAAGGAATGTCCATGGTAAAATGCTTGCCGGTACTAAAGAGAATCCACAAAAGTCTGATAAATATCTATAAACGATATTGATTATTCTTATAAGATTACACAATATGTTAACCCTAATCTAATTATAAAAACAATTTATTATTGTACAAAGCGCTATTTTTGTATGTATTGTTTTAATGGATTGAGTCCCAAATATTGACTCTCAATTACTTCCTGCTTGGTATCCTGGATATAAAGATTGTTTAAATGATTTCCAATTAAAGAACATGCTTCTCTACACCCATGTCTATTAGAAATTCCCAAAGCATGCAGTTAAATATCATTCCAGATCAATTAACACAGGTATTTAGGACATTGTATAGCTAAAGTTGATATGTTGCCAGGCTGAGAAATATATTTTCTCTTTTCTAGTGTGTATTGTGAGAAGCAACACTGCCCAAATAGAAAGTTGAAGTCTGTCTTTGATAACACTTTTCTTAACAGGGACAGTTTATTTAAAGTATTCATACCTAATATACTTACAGCTTATTTTGGAAATTGACTTGGTGTTCTAGTATTGAAAGGAATTTGAAATGAGATTGAAACTTATTAAATGTAAATAAGTTCATCATCATAGATTAACTCCCTTGGACTGATATGGGTATTACAATTATAAGAAAAGCACCATTGTGTAAAAACTTCTCACTTTTGAAAAATAAATCTTTAATGCTACCATTTAGAAAGGTAGAATTCAATTATTAGCAATGGATACTTTAAATGTTATGTCTCTGTTGTCAAGCAGTTTGCTGATTGTGTAATGGATATGAGTTAGTTTATCTGTCGATGTTGGTTATTATTAGACTGCTGAGTGGAAATACATACCACATGTGGTTCATTGTTTATAGCTGGCATACAGGTTATAGAGAATATGATTACTACTAATATTATAACTGGTGGATTTGGCATTTTTCTCATAATCATTGATTTTTTTTTTTTTTTTTTTGCTTTCCTATTATTTATCGCCAATGAAAAAAGTTATGTAATGCCAAATTTGCTGTCAGAATTGGTGGAATATTTTTAAAAAAAATTGTTTGATTTATAAAATTGATACTATAGTATTATGTAAATTGGGAGTATGCAGCATTCACAGGGAAATTTTTCAGAAAAGCTGTAATTTTTTTAGTGTTGCATAGTTTGTTGCATCACTGACTGAGTTTTAATGTCAAGATGAGCATTTTGATTTATTTGATAAACGTTAGGGTAAAAATACTATTCTGCAAATGACCTACCTGTTGGAACTGACAAAGACATAAAGCGTTGGGAAGAGAGAGAGAAAGAGATACTAAGAAGTGGTGGGTAATTACTGTTTACTAGGTCTGTAATGGATGCCTAGTGTATTTAAGACTTCAGCAATGTAAATCTTTTTAATAAATATACAACAAAGTAGGACTTGATTTTTTTGTGTTTCATCATCAACTGGAGGGTTTTTTCAAAATCATTTTCATTTATTCAGTCAGTCCTAAAACAATTTTTGTGATTGCCATTTCTCCAGAACTACTTGAGGTTTTAAGCTGTCTTGTTTTGCATGTGTTGCAAGCTCACCTTATACTACGACTATGCATCTTATGAGTAATTAGGTGACAGAAATTGAAGACAGTTGTGTCAAGAATCCATATTACACAGAATTTTGACCATGCTCATAGGAGCCAGTTATAGCACACACGTAATGTAATTAATGTATTACTAGTAGAGTATCTATACTATAGTGCATATATATTGGAACTGCGACTTGGGAGTTTGTGTAAAGTCCCTTCTGCTTACCTTGGCCATGATGCACTTCACCATCTATATTTGACATCTGTTCCCCAGTAACATGCAGCTGGGAACCTCCTAACATCACTTATGAATCCTAGAAGGACAATCGTGAAGGAATAACATATTTTGAGTGGATTGATGGACTTTGGGGGATCGAATGTTTTGTTCTTATGACCTGGGTAGAAGACACAAAGTGAAATGTCAAAGCATAATTGCAGACAAAAAGCCTTCAGAATTGACCTTGATTATAAAAAGGCCTAGAAGAAGGATGATTGAAAGCTGGAGTACAGAAAATGCATTCATAAAAATCAGAAATGTCTTTAAATCTGAAGAGTTACTTTTAGCTGATGGATGTATTCACATGAGACCATGACTGTTCCCCTGGAGATAAACCCTGGAAAAAGAGCCATAAAAATGTGGATGTCAGCTAGTGAAGTATAGGTAATGATTAAGGAATTCTTAAGCTATCGATTGGGAGGTACATCTTACTAGTAATCATTTAGGATAGTTTGTTTTTTCCTGTGACATAAAACACAAAGATTCATGTTTGTGATCATTGCGTTATTAGTAAACTTTGGTTTATAATAACAAATGGTATGTACCAGACTCAGGAAGTAACACCTTCATTGCCCTTTTACGAGATACCTCGCGTTCACATTTTTTGTTTTGTGAAAAAATTACAAAGTCAAGGTTACAAAGGATAAATGAATTCTCAGTTGAAAATATTTCCGTTTGTACATAGATATGTGTGCTCACTTATTATCACTCTAGCAACTTCATTTCGCAACTGATTTTGATGAAACTTCGCATATTGGTCAAGTATTACAATACCTTGAAAAAATTTCAGTGTGACAAGGTCAACATTAAAGTCACCATTGCTATTTTAAAGAAAATCTTAGTCATCGTTGTAGGAACCTTAATGACTCATCAGATTTTTATCCAATTTCACATATAGATCAAGTATCATAATACCTTGAATGAGTTCATGTTTCAACAAGCCAGGGTCAACGTTAAGGACACCATTACTATCTATAGAAAATCATTGTCATTGCTCTAGCAACTTTCTAAATCGATTTTTATCAAACTTCATATATAGGTTAAGTATCTCAGTTTGCCTGGGTCAATATCAAGGTCATCATTACTATTTACAGACACTATTGGATGCAGCACAGGGGATGTGTTCTTTAACAAACTTTATTATAAATGGGAGCGAGTGGTTTTTTTATTGTTTGCAATTCCCTGTTATTTTGGTGTTCCAGTCACGTTTTTTTTCAAAATGATATATTTTAAGGCTACATGGTCAATCAAATTCGTTTTTTGATCAAATTGTTCTGCTGATACAGATAGAGAATTTATCTGTGATATTTAATAACCTGATCATTTGCCGCTTTGTAAAACTTAACACATGCATTGAACATACAATGGAAAACTACAAAATTTATCAATGTAGATGGTCATTTTGGCATGTGATATTTGGTTAACCAGATTTTATATATTTACAAAAGGTATGTTGAACAGTATAAGTTCACACCTTTAACACCTGTTCTATTTGGTCAATAATGAGGAATTACTGCCATAATCCGAGGTAATTGCAATATTTATTCATTATGAAAGAACTAGTAGCAGCATTACAGTAAATTTGATGCCATTCAATTTAAGTATAAATCCTTTTCCACATTATGCGGACATATGAGGGCTGATTGATCTGTTATAAACCTCATATTTAAGGGTTTGACTTTTGGCCGACTATTGTATTGGTTTTTCCACATAATCCCATCCTGTTTCTATATACGTTTTCCAGTGATGTTTAAGAGCCTCAATGTCACTTCTGAAGAAGTCCTTTTCTTGACCGTTCAGAAAGTCCTCCATTGTATGTATGACGTCATCATCTGACTGAAAGTGGGTATCGGAAATGACTTTTTTATTTTGGAAATAAAGTCTGATTTATGGAGATCAGGTGAACACGGCGGATGTTCAATCAGTTTAAAACCACAATCGTTATTGGCAGCCATGGCAATGACAGACTTGTGAACAGAGGCATGGTTCCTGGTGGAACAACACACCTTTACGAAGTTTTCGTGGTACTCGAGTTATATATTTTCTGAACTGCCGGAGAAGCTGTGCATGATATGTGCCGTTGATTTTTAGTCCCTTTAGCAGATAATCTTCCATCAGAATACCATGAGCATCCCGCAAAACCGAGAACATAACCTTTCCAGCTAATGGGACAGTTTTTGTCTTCTTCGGCAAGAGTTCACGGGGATGCTTTCATTGTTTAGCCTGATGTTTGGCCACTGAGGTGAAATGATTGAGCCACTTTCATCCATTGTCACACACATCTGCAGAAAATTAGCAGGATGTGCCTTTAAAAGGTTCAGAACAACTATCAGAGTCTTGGTCGCCATAGTGCTGAGAGCTTTCTCATTGCAAAAATGGGATGTACTTTCTCCTGTGAAATCACAACAGTACTGGCAATATATCTCTCTGTAACTCGCCAGCAGCCACAACAATAGCATGGACTTTATTTGACCATTTCTGGGGTTGCAACAGTGATAGGCTTTCCAGGATGGGCGTCATACCAAAGGCTCTGTCTGCCAAGCTAAAATTCCGCCATCCAGCATTTTCATTGTAGCATATGAAGGGGCATCATTTCCTAGTGTTGCTACCATATCAGTATGGCTATCTTTAGGTGCTTAACCTTTCATATGCAAATAATGAATCACTGCTCTTTCAGCGATTTTGTCCCTTTTGTTTACTACCTCTTCGACATAAACTGACCAAATGACACCAGTCTTCGAGCACACTTCGTTAAATAGTCAAGGAATAGTAGAGCTGAAAATGGATATCCTTGCTGAACTTATTTCATACAACGCTTATCAACCAGTCCTTGTATATCTACTTACCTGTTCTTTAGGCGTGAATTAAATCAAATATCTTACCTAAAGCTTCGATTAAGTCAGTTTATGATGACGTGAATTTTGACCATTAACCTGCTTACAGAACTTTGATAAAACCTAGAAAAGTTATTAATATATATACATGAAATGTTGATGCCATATTACTCAGAAATAAACTATTTGCATGATTTGAACTTTGGCCTTTGAGACATAAAATCACAATAAAAAAGACATGCTGCCCCTGTTCACAAGTACGTGTGTTATCTTTTTGAGAGTTTGTATGCATAACACATAGGGTGCACTGCTGCGCTATATATGGGATATCATTTCGCAGAAACCGAGCTATATATTACCTGTAATTCTCAGAATGTAGTCGGCTAGTGTATATTCTCTTCCGGCTGGATTATCATCTGTCGAAGTTGTAGGTATGTTTAAATTTTGTTTGAATCGATAACATTTTCATATTTTGAATTCTCTTCCTCTTTGATATTTATTATATTAAGCTATACCAGTCATATATAGAAACTGGTGTCTGATACAAACATACATTTAAGAAGGCAATCCACAAAAACCTGGCGTCTCCTCATTGTTATAGACAAAGATTCAGATATAAATAATGTATAAAATGACACCACTGGGAAAAAAGTACTAACACTGTGTAAGAAAGTTAATGAATGTTTATTTTCAAATTCAGTCTTTGACATGTTACATATCATAGTGAAGAATGAGTTAATCCCGTTTACAAAATGTCTAGTACATTATATGCATTTTTTGATTACCTGATTGCTCTCAAACCGGTTCTTTTACAAGTCGTCTGACCATGAATATATATAGGGTTACCACCGATAGCAACAGCTACTTCCTAGCTAGCTCGTGGCTTTAGCCGCCTACAGGTAAAACCTGTTTACACACGACACCCACATACGATCGAACACTTACTTCTACAATAGTTTTAGGTAGACTTCTTATGCATGCACGTCATCAAAATTAATTCTAACGAAATAGTAAGTAGTTCAGATTTTTTTTTTCAAAAAGTATCACGCTGAACTCTGTCTACCAATACCAATGCTAGCATATACACATATCAAATAAAATATTTAATCTGGTTACAACGAAATATACTTAAACACACATTATGTGTGGAAAAGGATAAAAATATACGAGTGTAACTATATACTTTGTACAATTTATATAAACATCGCATCGTAGTCATCCAAACATTGTCACCAGCGAAACCCATCCAAATCAGATTATAAAATAATTCATATACTGTTAAGGTTACTATTTCGATGGGTTTTACTTTTCGTAAATTGCAAGGATGTAACAATTATAAACAAAATTAACAGAAAAAAACATACCTCGTTCCAATGACTCTTATAAAATGTCACTTTTTTATTCAAGTTTTTGATACGCACAAATTTCAACCATCGAAAAAGTAACCTTTAACAGAAATCTGATTTACTGGAACGTTTTTGGTTTAATGCATTATTTATTTTAAGTTGACATTCCAATCCTAACTAACTATATACTCTTTTAATGGTTAACTGAGATGCAAGATATTTAATGAATAATATCAAAGATAGTTATTTATAATGCTTTTGTCTATTCTTATGTCAATCAAATATCTCTTCCTGTAAAATTTCATTCCACATTTGAATTGTTATTTAAGCCTGACTGTATTTTTTTATTATAATTCTAATCACAGCAAAATTATCAAATAAACAAATTTGTTGG